CCATCCATCCATCCATCCATCCATCCATCCATCCATCCATCCATCCATCCATTCTCTTCCTCTTATCCTTGCAGGGTCGTGGGGGAGTCTATCCCAGCTGTCTTAGCCCCACTAACTAATATAATAACTACTAACAGCTAAATACATTTTCTCATACACACTCCCGATTACACAGTTTAAGCAGTTCTTTGTTTGTGGCAGTGACCTGTGCTCCGGACCAGTTTGCCTGTGGTGATGGTACATGTGTTGCCATCACTAAGCTGTGTGATGGAGCTACTGACTGTTCAGGAAGAGAGGACGAGAACAGAACCAACTGCTTCACCAGTACCACAACACCATCACTCCTGCCTGTCACACCAACGTCTGGTAATGTCATTTAAAGGTTATGGAAAAATGTTTCTAGTACATAAACACCTAGTCAGAGGTTATTCTTAGACATTTCTACCATTGTTATATGTTTTTCTTCTTTTTGCTTTTTTGCCTAATTCTCAGTTTTGTGTATTTGATAAGACGATCTACTCCCCAAGGTGTTAACATTTCATTTTGCTTTGACGCTGCTGTGCTGGGACATTTCTCAGAAAAAGCCCTGCGTTACACATAACTCATTTTTTTTTTTAAAGTAATGCAGTATGGTACTTATTACTCAGTGAAGAAAGCGATTCATTAAACCACTTGTTACATTATTTTCTCGTTACAATGTAAACAACCTTAGACGCACTGTCAAATAATTACCAGAAAAAGAAAAAAATACATTTGTTTAATGTTTTTTTTCTATCCAGTTAAAAGATGATCCTAAAGATGATCCTAAAGTGACCATAGATATGAGGCAGGTGAAGTGCTTAACGTGTACAGAACAGAGTACAGCACGCATGTGTGGTCAGATGTACGTCTCAAGTTTTGCGAGGGGTCAGTAAGACTAGGAGAGTGCTCTATAAACCCAGCCCATTCCATCCTTTGTGGTTCTTCTGGAATATGTTTTGCCATTTGGCCTATAACGGACTAATACCTGACGCATCCCTGTTATTTTGAAGGTCCTTTTCCGATTAATGTGGTAAGATGTACAATTTTAACTTCAGTGGTCACAGGACACAAAAATTGCATTTCAGTGTCTTAAATTTGCCACAAAATTGGGATTCAAAAGCTTTTTTTTCCTGTGAATTAAATTTCTATTGCACATACACAAAGCTATCATCCTACTGCCTCAATACAGAGTAATGACAGAATCAACATCTTTGAAAGAAATGCTAATCTAATGTTATACTGCCATTCTATTCAGGACCTGTTAAATATATATTATTTATACACATGTCATATATATAATGTCTCTGATACCTTTTGGTTCTCCAGCTTGCAGGTCTTATGAGTTCAGCTGTGCCACTGTTGGGCAGTGTGTGCCTCAGGCCTGGCGCTGCGATGGAGAAACAGATTGTATGGATGGCAGTGATGAGCAGCAATGTGGCGCCCCGTGTGGCTCCGGCCAGGTGCCTTGTGTCAGTGGGGACCAGTGCGTGGAATACCAGCAGCTCTGTGATGGGACCCCACATTGCAGGGATACGTCAGATGAGAGTATCGACAACTGTGGTATGTTAATGTATATACTGTACAGCTATAGGTTCTAAGCATCAAGAATAAAACATTAGAGTCAATATGATCAGGCCAAAAAGAGCAGTTTGTCCTACCATCTGTCTACTAGGCTCTACCCGGATACCTCCCTGTTTAGGCAGCTTCCCATGTGACAACCGCACCTGTGTGAACATGTCACAGGTCTGCAATGGTGTCCCAGACTGTCCACGGGGCGAAGATGAGTTGGTGTGTGGTGAGTTCTCATTAGATAAAGAGAAGGCAGGTAAGCCTAGAGTGAGACAAGGAGTGACCATGATGACGCTATGATACAGTCACGGCCAGGCTTTCATTAAAAGATGTCATCAGGACTAAAAAGGACACAAGTTTGATTGTATTAACTCCCCTGTTCTCTTGTATGATCATTAATATATTTGACATCTTGTTCTGTTAAGATAAAACTGTCTCACCAGCACTTCCTGGCAGCAACACCACTGTCACCTGCTCTGAGTTCACCTGTATGGATGGAACCTGTGTGCCTTTTAACGTGGTAAGCTAAACTCCGCCCCAACACGCCATCTATATTTTGCAGAAATGATCAAGTACATGAAGATAATCTTTTGTTGCTTTCCTGCTGGTTTGGATAGAAGACAAAAATCTGATACAGCAGTATAAGTTATTTGCATTTTTTAAATGACCAGCATCTGTTTCAAATACACATTTTTACATTTATATTTGAATTAGCTCTTTCTAGTTTTTTCTGTCTCATCTCTTTATCTGCCTCTTCCACCACAACACTCTCCCCTTCATCTCCATTTCATCCTATTCCTCTTTACCTCAAGCCTAAGAATTCGTACGTTATAAGCTAACGCTATGCTAGCTAATATTAGACTATAGTGTCCTAAAAGTCTGTAGTTTTTAAGTACATCCAAAATTTTAATATGAGTTTTACTGCATTCTCACATCACATATGGGTTTACTTGCTAAGTGTGAGTTGCCCACTTTGAAGATTCACTTGAAATTAAGTTTTGGTAACAGCGGAGAATAGCAGCTAACAGGAGCTAACAGCAGCTAACAGCAGCTAATAGCAGCTAACAGGCAAAAACAGCAGCATGTCCTGGCCCCAGCAGAAAATTACAGATTACCATTGCTCATCAATCACAAATGAGCTACTTTGGCTCGTCGACAATTTAAAGGGTAATACACAGAGACGTATCAATGTCAAAGTGTAATAAAGATCAGGTAAATTCCATAGCAGCGACTACTGTCCGTGGTTCAAGTACCTACTAAGTTTGTAAGCAATCTTGACATAGAACACAAGCATTCAAACTTTTGTAGGCCTTCAGATCTCATCTAGTATAATTTGAGGGGTGATATAAACACAGTGATATAAACCATGTGGCGTGAAGTCAGGGAGAGTCCCAGGGCAACACTTCACAGAATCAGTAAACACACTTGGACTTCAGCCCTCCCATGCTCACTTCTTCACAGAAGCCAGATGCTTGTCATGAAAGTATTTTACTTTCTCTGAGGGAGAATATACAAGTGTTTGTTTACTCATAGTCGTTTATCTTATCTACATAATATTTAGTAGGTTTTTCACTCACTTGAAGTGTCATGTTGCCTACAACATGTAATGTGTTTACTTAACGATGTGTGGCTGAACAGGCAATGAAGGGATAGAAGTCCTTGTTTTACACCAGAAAGTTGGGAGAAGTTTCAGTTGCATTACTACTGAGTTTCTACTTTATTTTCTATTGCATGGCTGCATCATTCAATCTTGGAATCTGAGGTTATTTGCAGGCCCACATATGAAAGTACACTGCATCTGTTTTTCTCCGTTAATTATACTAAAACTAAGTCAGTTATGTTTTCAAGGAAGGAAGAAAGAAAACGAAAAGTTTCATGTACAGTGAGCCTGCTCTGTTTTTAGGTGTGTAATGGTGTTCCAGACTGCCCAGACTCCTCATTAGGGTCGCTCGGAGACCCCACAGACGAGCAGGGCTGTAAAACCTGGAGCTCCTGGGGCCCTTGGAGTCCTTGCAGCACCACCTGTGGGACGGGCTTCATGAGCCGGGAGAGATCATGCCCTCCAGGGGACCCGCTGCACCACTGCCGGGGTCAGGACATCCAGAGGCAGGAGTGTTTCAATACCACCTGTCCTGGTAAGGACATACACAGAAACTGTAACACACACGTTTGGGAATGCTTTCAGGAAACGTGAGATTCCTATAATTTTGGAACAAGAGGGTTTATTTTTCATAGAAGGCTGGAGGAAAAACTGACGACAAAAATAGAAGCATAAAGGAAAGTCACAGACGCACACATGTCAAAAAGTCTGACTTGTCTTCTGTTCTGGTTCAGCGACTAACCGGAAGGTTGGTGGTTCGATCCCAGGCTCCTCCGCTCTGCATGTCAAATATCCTTGGGCAAGATGCTCTCCGATGCATCCATCAGAGTGTGAATGTGTATGAATGTTAGATAGTAAGCACTTAACAACTTAGAAAACATGCTTGTGTGAATGGGTGTGATTGGGTGAATGAATTAGTTGTACAAAGTGCTTTGAGTGCTCAGATAGAGTAGAAAAGCGTTATATAAGAACCGGTCCATTTACCATTACCATCTTCTCTACAGTTGATGGTCGATGGCTGCCGTGGGGGAGCTGGTCAAACTGTTCCAGTGGTTGTGGTGGAGTTCAGGTCAGAAACAGAGCATGCACACCTCCTCTCTATGGAGGACAGGACTGTTCCCAGCTCCCAGGACCATCTAATCTGTCCATGGAGACCAGTAAGCAGTTTGTAAAGATGAATGTTTTATTGAGCAAAAGTCAAGTATTTTGTTTACGATGGTTTTATTACTTATTATAAAAGTAATTACTGCCCAGAGATGGCTTGTGCTCTCAGAGAGCTTCGCAAACATGTAAAATGTAAAATTTTAAATCAATATTTTTGGAACTCCAAAAATCCCGTATATAAATATGAATAAATATTCCAAGTATAAAAAATGTAGATCTTCTCGAGTGTTGATGGAAGTTGTTTTTATTGCTGATGATGGTGGTTGCTTTATATCCAAATCTGGGCTATTTAAACCAGAAAGGAAGTAATCAGAGTCCAGACTTTCACAATAAGACTCATGGTCAGCTCAGACTTATAAATACTTAAATGCCATGAACTGGTAGTAAATGAGGGAAAGCTAAGGACAATAAGAGATAAATTGGTAAAAAAGAAAGAAAAACGGTACCACGTCCAGTTCTAAAATGAGGAGATTTCCTGTATTCATTTTTGTCTTTCCTTATTTTTATACCAGGGTGTTTACCCTCGTTACTTTAACCTGCATAAAGAAACAGATAACATACGAGAATTTTCGACATTTTTCATTTAGTTACACAGCTTTTCTTACAGTAGGACTTCCTGCTCTGTCTCTGTGCCTCACTGTAGAACCATGTCTGAATGATGGATGTGACAACACCAGCTGTCCCACAGGCTTGGTTAGACACAGCTGTGCTCCCTGCCCACTGTCCTGTGCCCACATCAGCAGTGAGTCCACCTGTGATCCCAGCGCACCCTGCTTCTCAGGTCGGTGCATCCCAGGACACGTGTGGAATGTCCTGTGTGATAAATAAAATGTGGCTTCTTCACCAGTTTAGATTTCAGTCACAAGCTTTTTTCGCTCTAACGTATCAATACTTGCAGGATGCTGGTGTCCAGAGGGGCAGGTGATGAGCCACACACAGCAGTGTGTGTCACCAGAGGAGTGTGTGTGTGAGGTGGCGGGTGTGCGCTACTGGCCGGGCCAGCAGATCAAAGTGGACTGTGAGGTTTGTGTGTGCGAGAGAGGAAGGCCGCAGAGGTGTCAGCCCAACCCTGACTGCTCCAGTGAGTCGCTGTAGTCAAATCCACAGCTGACGCGTGCACACAGACTGCTGTGAAGTCTGAGGAATCTGTTTTGTCACACTTGTAGTCCACTGTGGATGGTCATCATGGTCTGAGTGGGGAGAGTGCTTGGGGCCGTGTGGTGTGCAGAGCGTTCAGTGGTCCTTCCGCAGCCCAAACAACCCCCCCAAACATGGAGATGGTAGGACGTGCAGAGGAATTTACAGGAAGGCTCGCCGGTAAGTCTCCTCCTGCTTTCATTGGTTAGAAACTGTGTACTTTTTCAAGACTTTCAGCACTCTGACCTTTTCCAAACATGGTCACTCTCCATGGGATTGCAATCGTCTGACGTGCACCTCTGTGAGAATTTATCATTCTTCAACGTGAGCTCAGCAGATGTGTTATCAAGCATTATAAATATTTTGATGAAGAGGTTTTGAACTGCATTAATCACCACTTAATGCCCAAAAAGTAGTCAAAAAATGTATTTAGTTTACTAGACTGCGTGTGTAGCTCATGAGGTCATCCACCAATCAGCTAGATACATGTAACCTTTTCAAAGTTCAAAAAACGGGCGTCAAGGATGAAAGTCCAGTGTTTGCTTTTCTGTCCGGTGTGCTCACTTCTTAGTGTTGGCAGAGTGCAGCAATCCACCAGCTGTTCATGATTATGTCCAAGTAAGAAAAGATGATTAATGTGGGAATAATGTGTCAGTTACTCTGTAATGTGCTGGCACATTAGCTCAGGTGCAGATCGTGATCGTTATAATAGTAGCAGCTAAAATATTGTGTACCCTGATCCAAGAATGGAAATGTCTCCCTATATATGGGAATCCAACCGTGTGCCAAGCATTTCTCCCCTGCTGTGAGGAAGTATTTTCTATCAGCTCTGGCTTTGTGGTTAAAAACATGATTGAATCATGACGTCCATCCACCAACGTCTCTGCTGGGTTTCTTTGAAAGAAAATGTCTGTCTTTGTGTCTGAATTACAATCCCACTGTCGGCGTGTGTGTGTGCGTGTGCAGGTGTCAGACAGCCCCCTGTGAGGAGTGTGAGTATCACGGTCAGTCCCACACAGTGGGCGACAGATGGCGGTCAGACCAGTGTCAGCTATGCCGCTGTCTTCCCAACCTCACAGTGCAGTGCTCCCCCTACTGTCCATACGCTGCCACTGGCTGCCCTCAGGTGAGAGGATGTGTGTGGCTGTTGTTCATTTTTGTTGGCAAAAGCTACTAAAAATATTTCCACATTAGTCTTATTGTTATGTTTTAAATGTTGTTCACCTGTCGCCACTTTAGTGTCGTTTACAGACTTTACTGATTA